TTGAGTTTCTTTTGGATGGATTCCAAGATGAGACTTCCGATCAGACCGTCCCATTCTGCTGTTTGAAGCTGCTTTTGTGTATGTTTATTTTGTTTTATTTAGCCTTGGGGCCGACCCAGTGGTGCATGAGGAGTACTCAAATCTCAGTGCTTAATGCTCATTCCTGAAAGGTCTAGGTGACCAATGGGATGCTGGAGGTCCAAAGGTTTCATCTTGGGTTTTCTGTTTTCTTTGGGGTGGCAGAGCAAGGATTCTTGCAATCATTTCTTGGGCTGCACTCTGGTATTGCCCCTGGCAGTGCTTGTGGACCATATGGGATGTTGTGGACCACCAGTCCTACATGCTGTCCCTGGAACAGCTGTCCTGTTACGCCAACCTGCTGCTTCGGCTTCTTTTGCATTGTTTTTGTCATCAGCTGTCCTCTTGACTCTGTGCTCTGGATTCACAACTGACTGGCCTCAAAGCACCCTGGGGTGTGCTGGCCCCGTTTGCGCCCTGGCAACTACAGTGACTTGGGCCCCCAGACTTGCTTTTCTCCTGTTTTGTCCCTCCTACTTTAGAGAGACTACCTGCTCGGTCATATAGTATTACGTTCACATAATTTTGTGTGTGGATTTCTGGGCATGCGCTGATCCCAAGGAGAAAGAGCCAAGGATCTCTGCGGCTAGTAGAGATGTTGGGATCAAGAAACTTCTACCTTATTTGAGCGGGATTTGGGGCGGTACAGTGCAGTAAGTTCCTACAGGCACACATGCCATGCACTGCTCTGAGTAGTTGTCTATACGGACTGTCGAGTTCTAAATCCTAGTGGTCATGAGCTGTGGGGGTGCAGCGGTGAGCGTGCAGTGTTTTTTGCTACACCCAGGGATAGTCTTTTGGATCGTACAAGTCTGTGTTCAGGTGATCCTCTCTACAGTGCTCACTGGACCAGTGGTGCTCGAATTGGCCGGGTGGTTACCAGGAAAGGCAGATACATCCAAGAACCTTCTGTATAACATCCTCCCACTTTAGCAGATCCAGTTCCCTTATGTGATTTTTGGGGCCCGTCAGTCATGCGTGAGCATGGAGGCTGGTTCATTCGAAGTGGAGAGGCCCAGCGACAATATAGGACCCTGGGACCTGGCCTCAGAGTAGTGGGAATGAGGCTAAGATAGACTCTGACTCCCACCCTCTTCGTGTGCTGACTCAGGACGCAGTGACCTTCCATGATGTGGCTGTGAACTTCACCCCAGAGGAATGGTCATGCCTGGAGGCCTCTCAGCGGAAGCTCTACAGGGACGTGATGCGGGAGACCTACCAGAATCTGCAGGCTGTCGGTGAGAGCAGTGTGGAGCCAACCATGTCTGAACAGACCCACGTTGGCTCCCTGGGGTTGGGCGGCAGCTGTGTGTCCAACAGTAGCTCTGTGACTGGCGTGCAGTAGCTCTTCCCTCCCTCGTTTTTTTTAGGGTTCACCTGTGGATACTCAGAGCTTACTCTCAGCTTTGTCTTCAGGAATTACTCTTGTGGGGTAGCCGGACCGTATGGGGTGATTCAGATCAACCGTTTTCGACTGTGTCCATGGGAAGATCCCTATCTGCCCAGTTTTCACTCAGGTCCCTTTAAATACTTCCATCCATTGGTGCAACAATTTACTTTGTGTACTACACAAAATTTTGTGTGTTTAATTGGTTTTGCTGTTGCCTTTGTTTGGGGGGCACAGTCCACAGTTCTCTTGGCTCTGTGCTAAAGGATGACACCTAAGAGTGTTCAGGGGCCATTTGGAACCATATATTGAAACCTCTTGGCAAGTTAAACTGTCGATGCCTCACCCCCCGTACTTTTGCACCAGTCACTCAAGTCAGACGGTTTTTGCATTTTCTTTTTTCCTTAGGGATTAGGGATTATTCCTGCCTTTGTATTCAGGATCCACACCTGGACTTGCTCCAAGACCATATGGGCTGCCTGGGATCAAACCCACATGTGTGTGCAGGGCTTCTGTCTTATCTGCTGTACTTTCTCTTTCACACCACAGGGTATTTGATATCTCGTCTCTCAACTCATTAGACGCAGCCCTATTTCAGTGCTTTGATTTACTTCTAATGGTTCTTGTGAGACGTAAGCAAGACTTAGGTTTTGCTTCTGGACTCTGCACTCAGGGATCGCTCCTGGCTGGCATGAGGGACCCTAGGAGATATCGGGTATCACAACTGGATTGTCCGTGAGAAACTCCTGCTGTGATCTCTTTCTGGATACATTTTTAGCTTAAAAAATAAGGGTCTCTTGTCACCCTTGGCCATTTCCAGATTTATTTCCACTTAGTTTTACTGAAATCCGTGAACAGTTCATGAGGGGCTCAGGAAACCCCATGTGCTGCTGGGCCTAGAGAGACAGTACAGGGAGGAAAGAGATTTTCTTGCAAGTGGCGCACGTGGGTTAAATTCCCGGCAACCCATGTCATCCCCGAGCACCAGCAGCAGTGATTTCTGAATACAGAGTCAGGAGTCTGCCCTGATCATTGTCAGGTGAGACCCAAAACAAGACAAAAAACAAAAACATACTGTGCTAATCAACCCCCTGTCGGTCATACACAAGGCCAGGTCTAGAGTATTTGTGATATTTTCTTCGGTCTTAACTCTTGAATAACTAGAAATATGTGGAATTTTGGAAATGGACATTCTGTTCATGCTTTTCAGATATATGCCCACTTATATCAGGAAAACATGGGCATTTACCTGTCACCTTTTCCCTGTGACTTATCCATGCCTCTGTCTCTGTTGGGGCAGGGCACACTGGAATGAAGCCTGCAGTGATCTCCTGGCTGGAAGGAGGAGCTCTGAGGTCGGGTTGGAGAGGCGTGTGTGCGGGTGAGTGTCTGAGGACCCTTCCTGGCTCAGGCCCGGTGCAGTGTATGGGTGCCCTGAGCATGTGTGAAACATGCTGCTGAGGCCGGGGCCTTGGTGTCCTGGATCCTTGGGTCTGTGCCGCACTCAAGCTGCTCTTCATTTCCCTGGACTGTCAATCACAGAATGATCCTGTAATTTGCTTCCATGGCTTTCGAATAAATAACACCATAACAGAGATAGTTTGGATCTAAACGATAGTACAGCAGGGAGCGCCTTGCAGTGCCTGAATGTGACCTGTTCAATAATCTGTTTAATAACCTGGTTCCCCGAACATCACAGGGCTGCTCAAAAACAAAAACATAACCTAGTGTAGAATTGCCAAGATCCTCACAGTTTTCCACTATCCGAATCTTTTGTTTAGTGTGGGACTCTTTGGACTTTGAGAACCACAGAGATGTACTCTTAACTACATGGCATCATTTTGCTTCATATTGTGACATGTGTGACATGTGTTAATTGCATGTTCTCTTCAGTTACAGAACTGAAACCGCGACTTCAGGATTTGGCAGTACAGCACTTTGATTTGGGAATGGGGTGAGCAAGTACGAGTGAGTTGGTAAGATTCACGAATACAGAATAAATATTATGCCAGCAGGAGTGGACCAAGTATGTGATTGTAAAGGTGGAAGGCTGGGATTGGCAGGGAGAAATTCCAAAACCTGATGCTTGGAGTAGAGGACTCTTAGCTTTGCTAGGTGCTGAAATTCACCATGTATAAAAAGTACTGTGAGTTTTGATTGACTTGACAGTGGTAGTTGTTTAGAAAGCTAATTTCTGCGCCGTAGAGATGGTGCAGTGAGAATTATACTTGTTTTGCTTAGGGATGGATGGTCCTTACCCAGCACGCCTTATAGACAGCATAGACCCACAGAACTGATCCTAGACACTGCATGGTGTGCCCCTCCACCCACCCAACCACAAATAAATAGAAACAACAACAAAGAAAGAAAAAAAAATTCATTGATCCTGAAAGGCATCACTTGTGGTGAGAGAATTGCAATGGCCAGGTGGTCTGCTTCAGCTGCGTTACGATGCAGTGTAGTCTTCACCACTGCATCACAGGTTCCACACGGAACTTTAACCAAACCAACATGTGGATCTATTCATTTTCTCCTGAAATGGATGTGTCCGTTTTCTATAGAAGGAATTATTTCTAGTTGTATTCCTTCATTAATTTAAAAGGGGGGAAAGTCACAGAATTTACTCTCTATCCATCAATGTTGTGCGTCCAACTTACGGTAACATGAAGTTATTCAATAGTAAGACAATTCATATGTCAGTAATTGCATTTTTGCAGTGCATATGTGTGAAATTACATCTGGAGGGCTCAGTTTTTTTGACAGGAAGACTCAGTGAATAAGTCAATAATTAGAATCCTCTGTTGTTCTACAGGAAAACTGCCACCCCGAGTGGAATGTCTCTGATCCTGCACTGTATGATAATGTCTCGAGTGATCAATCCTGCCCTCAGCCCCATGAGGACGCCGAGACAGGCGGGATGTTGTCTGAGGGTGATCAGAATGGTGAGAGCTACCTCACTCTGAAGAAGCCCTCTCCTGGAAAAAGTTCCTTGGAGTGTGTTATTCTCAGTTCACAGACACAGAATTCCCCAATTGGGCACCTGCTATGGAGAGAAGCACTGTTTATAGTGAGTCCCTCACAGCAACATACCCTCAACCACAGTCACCGTGAGCAGAACCCATATAGGTGTAAGTAATGTGGGGGAGCCTCCCCATGTTCTCATCACTGTGGTGTTCCCATAGAAAACCACAGTGGACAGAGTCCCCAGAAATGTCAGCCCCAAGAACAAAGTATGAGTCAAGGGTTACTCCATCATGACCATATGAATATAAATTCAGGAGCGAAACCTTTTGCATGTGAAGCATGTGGGAAGGCCTTCGATCAATCATCACATCTTATTATGCATAGGAGAATTCATACAGGAGAGAAACCTCATGAATGTCAGACATGTGGGAAGGCCTTTATTCAGACCTCTAGTCTTAATAGACCTATGAAAACGCATAGTGGAGAGAAGCCTTATATATGTCAGGAGTGTGCTAATGCCTTTACTCGATCCTCAGGCCTCAGTATACATAGAAGTATTCACACTGGAGAGAAACCGTATATATGTAAGGAATGTGGGAAGGCCTTTGCGAAAGCCTCAAATCTTAGTGAACATAGGAGAATTCACACAGGAGAAAAACCGTATATATGTAAGAAATGTGGGAAGGCCTTTGCGAAAGCCTCAATTCTTAGTGTACATATGAGAATTCACACTGGAGAGAAACCGTATATATGTAAGGAATGTGGAAAGGCCTTTGCTCAATTCTCAAGACTTAGTGACATAGGAGAATTCACACTGGAGTGAAACCGTATATATGGAAGGAATGTGGAAAGACCTTTGCTTTGGCCTCAAGACTTAGTGAACATTGGAAAATTCACACTGGAGAGAGACCCTATGTTTGTCAGGAATGTGGAAAGACCTTTATTTTGGCCTCAAAACTTAGTGTACATAGGAGAATTCACACTGGAGAGAAACCGTATATATGTAAGGAATGTGGGAAGTCCTTTGCTGAAGCCTCAAGCCTTCGTGTACATAGGAGAATTCACACTGGAGAGAAACCGTATATATGTAAGGAATGTGGGAAGTCCTTTACTGAAGCCTCAAACCTTAGTGTACATAGGAGAATTCACACTGGAGAGAAACCGTATATATGTAAGGAATGTGGGAATGCCTTTGCTACAGCCTCAAGCCTTAATGTATATAGGAGAATTCACACTGGAGAGAAACCGTATATATGTAAGGAATGTGGGAAGTCCTTTACTGAAGCCTTAAACCTTAGTGTACATAGGAGAATTCACACTGGAGAGAAACTGTATATATGTAAGGAATGTGGAAAGGCCTTTGCTACAGCCTCAAGCCTTAATGTACATAGGAGAATTCACACTGGAGAGAAACCGTATATATGTAATGAATGTGGAAAGGCCTTTGTTTTGGCCTCAAGACTTAGTGTACATAGGAGAATTCACACTGGAGAGAAACCGTATATATGTAAGGAATGTGGGAAGGCCTTTTCTCAATCCTCAAGCCTTACTATACATAGGAGAATTCACACTGGAGAGAAACCGTATATATGTAAGGAATGTGAGAAGGCCTTTGCTCAATCCTCAAGACTTAGTGAACATAGGAGAATTCACACTGGAGTGAAAACCGTATATATGGAAGGAATGTGGAAAGTCCTTTGCTTTGGCCTCAAGACTTAGTGAACATTGGAAAATTCACACTGGAGAGAGACCCTATGTTTGTCAGGAATGTGGAAAGACCTTTATTTTGGCCTCAAAACTTAGTGTACATAGGAGAATTCACACTGGAGAGAAACCGTATATATGTAAGGAATGTGGGAAGTCCTTTGCTGAAGCCTCAAGCCTTCGTGTACATAGGAGAATTCACACTGGAGATAAACCATAATATATGTAAGGAATGCGGAAATGCCTTTACTTCATCCTCGCAATTGACTATACATAGGAGAATTCACAGTGGAGAGAAACCGTATATATGTAAGGAATGTGGGAATTACTTTGCTGAAGCCTGCTGATTTTCACCCGGGCTGCACCTATGCCAGTATTCTTGTGCTTGGAATTGCTTGTGTGTTAACTTGTAATCAATGGGTCATGTTGATGAAAATAAGGACGAAGTTGACTGAATAAACAGGTACAGAAACAACCTCCTGCTCAGAGCTCTCATGGTTCACTACTCTATTATTGTTTGCTATGCTCTGGCTTGGCCCAGTGGGACTGGTTAGCTGGAATTATGGCAGAAATCAACGAAGATGCAGCATTGAATACTTTGAAAATGGAAAAATAGGTAATCCTTCATTCTTCAGTATTTCCTGTGTTAGGATTTGGGATGCTTGAGCACCCTGCTTTGGCAACTTGAGCGCCAGGTCTAGCCAGCTTGTATGGTGCATTCAAGCTTGTTTCTTACTTGTTCTGGATATCCAGGCTTTCGTAGATGTGGAGCTTTTGAGGGGTGCATTGGGTGCTGTTCTGTCGCTCAGGTGTCATGGGTGAAGGTGCGTTATCCTGAGGGCCCCTGCAGCCACCATCGATCCAGGTCCAAGACGGCACTGGAAGTTGGGCACATGGACTTCAGGCCTTGGTGTGAGGAGCCTGCAAAGAGTGGGGGTCTTGGTCATCTCGTTCCTTCCTACTGGAGACTGTGAAGGACCCTGTTTGGAGCCTTTGGACTGGAAATAACACTTATCAAAACTCCAAATATGTTCATGGGCAGCCCCCAAAGGAAAGGGACACTTTTGCCGTCGGTCATTTTCATTGGATTCAGTGCTGGGTTTGGCACTTTGGGGTGTGTTTAGACAAGTGAGAGGTATATGCCTTGAAAATTTACTCTTTGGATTATAATTTTTTTTTTGCTCTTTGTGTCTCACTCACCGTTTCGCATGGGTTTCTCCTGACTTATGCACTCAGGAATTACTCCTGGTAAAGCTCAGGTGACCATATTGTTTCTGGGATTCGAACCCGGGTTGGTTACGTGCAAGTCAAACCTCTTACCCGCTCTGCTATCACTTCAGCCCCTCTTTAGATTAATTTTAATAGCTGCTTTTATTCAGGGGTGTTGGAAGGGATTCTTTGATGCACAAGTTTTACTTCTGGTTTTGCATCTCAGGAATTATTCTGTGGTGCTGCTGGGTACCTATCGGATGGGGAGGCTAGCATCCTAGTCGCTTCACAGTGATTCCAACCCCACTATTGGTGTTTTTTTCCCCATATATAGAATTTCTACAACACGGGATTATGGTACCGCCAGCAGGTCAATCTGTGCCTCTAGGGCGACTGCATCAGCAGCCTGATGGCACCATCAGACTTCCAGATACTCCGAAATAGATGTTGTGCCTTTGGCCAGACAACAAAAACTTTGGGCAAAGTCTTCCAAGAAAGTAAACAGCCAAAGTTAGGTATGTGCAAGACACAACAACAAACCATTTCCTGCTCAGCTATATAATTGGAGGCAAGGTCTCTCTGGTTCCTGATCAAACCTCTTAAAGGCTACGATCCCAGAGACTCAGAGATAAATCTCGGAACCCAGCAGCTTTTTGCAGAGATGTGCCCGATACCCGCAATGAGCTACCGGCGACAGACCACCACAAGGGGAAAGGGTGTGTGTCTCTGCCTGATCCCACTTGGTGGCTCGGTGGCCACCATCTTCCATAGACCATTGGACAGACAGGTTTGGGCCTGCAGTGACAAGACATGCAAGGCCTCATGGGATTGGGCTGGACTCTGCACTTTCCTCCCCACCTCAATGAGACCCCGAGTCGCTGCCCATGTACGAACTCTCTGGCTCTTGATCACTCTGTTTAATGGCCATGATCCCAGAATCTCAGAAACTAATTTCAGAACCCAGTGGCTTTCAGAAGAAATGTGTTCTGTCCCCACAGTAGGTTACCAAAGCTGGGTATTTCAGGTGGGAATAGGTTTTGTGCCTGGCGGTTCAGTGGCCGCCATCTCTTAGGGCTTCTGGACTGTTAGGTTTGGGACTGCAGTGAGGAGACATGCAGGGCCTAATGGGATGGTGGTGGAGCCGGCCCTTTTCCCCCCACCCCAACGAAACCCCGAGTTGTCTGGCGTCTACGATTGACCTCTGTGGCTCGTGATCAAGGTGAGTAATGGCCATGATCCCAGAGATTCAGAGACAAATCTCGAAACCCAGTGCCTTTTAGCAGAAAAGCATCTGGATCCTGCAGTAGGTTACTGTCCCAGGTCCACCCCAAGGGGAATTGGTTCTGTTCCCCCAACTGCTCCTCCTTGGCGGCTCAGTGGCCTCCATCCGCCAAAGGCCTTTGGAAAGTCAGGTTTGGGCCCACACTCACGAAGATACGTGGGGCCTCGCAGGATGGGTGTGGAGCTGGCCAATTCCTCCTCACCCCAACAAGAGCCTAAGTCATTCCCACAAACCACCTCTCTGGCTCGTGATAAAGCTGTTTAATGGCCATAATCCCAGAGACTCAGGAACGAATCTCAGAACCCAGCAGGTTTTTGCAGAAATTCCTCCAGATTTCGTTGTTAAAATTTCATAATTCCAAAATCATATGTTATTTATAACCAGCAATTGAAAAAGAATTGTCTACTGTTACGTTTTCACCAGATCTAAGTGTCGGAATAAAATCCCAAATAATAATGGTGGGTCTTGTGTCAAAATATTGAATGTAATCAAAGTAGAGAGAATAATTGGAAATTATCTGCCCCACAGGTAGAGGAAGGCTGTGGAATGGCGTTATACTTGAGTTTTTAGTGATGGAAAATGGGCACGGTGAAGGGACGGGTGTTTCATTGTATGACCGAGACTTAAACCTGAAAGCTTTCTAAGTGCTCTCCCATTTTCCCCTGTTTTCTCCCATTTATTTAGAAATGGCCAGAGTAATAGTAGAGCAAGTAGGATGTTTACTTTGCATGTGGCCAACCCAGGAGTCCTCCAGTCCACAACATCTTTTCATTGCTCATTGGACATTGAGCGTCCCCTTCTCATTCCTAGAACATGTAATGTGGGGGTGTGGCATGGGGTAGGGGTGTCTTCTCCCTGGAGCTGTTCATTACGGACGGATCCAGTGCTTTCCTTTCTTGACTTTATTGTGATTTTTCCCTATCTGTCAGGTATGTCAAGTAGTCCATGTGTTTCAAGGCTCTTGTTTTCCCAGTTGTATAACTGGCCAAACTGTACACCTAAAGGGTCGGGTGCCCTTTCTGGACTCCTCTCAGTCAATCTGACACCATGCATATCTTTGCCTTTGGATCATTGCCATGGTTTTTTGAATATGGGAAGAAATTGAGTTTTCTTTTGTTATGGGGCCTCGGGATGCTCAGCAGTTATTTCTGGTGGTTCTCATAAGTTGCTTTTAGCAGTGTTCAAGGATCAAACCCTGTCAGCCTCAATGCTAGGTAAATGCCTACCTACTGTACGCTTGTATGCACCAAAAACTGTTTTATTATGTGTATGTTAAATTGTGACTGTGAGCCCATAGTGAAGTTAATTAGGACGAGAACAGCAGTGCATCACGGTGGGTTCTCGTCTTACAGATGCCGCCTACCTTCGATGTCCAGAATCCCCTATGGTATCCCAAGCATCACTGGGTCTGATTAAAAACAAAACCCAAAAGGATTTTTGGGGGGATTGCTGAGCTCCTCCCAGCAACACTTCCCACACCTTATCCCTTTCTGTAGACTTGCTTGGACTGTGAGAACTATGGAGATGTCCTCCACCTGCTTGGTTATTCAACTGCATTCCATTCAACATTGGACTAATTCTCATTGTGCATTTTGTTTGATTTCAGAACTCAAATCACAGGTTTATGATGTGACATTACAGCAATTTCTTTAGGGAACAGGGGTATTGCATACAAGTGTGCTGTAAGATTCTCTTGTTTAAACTATTATGCCATTGGAGTGCTCAGTGGACCGAGCATGCGACTTCAAAGGTGGGGTCCAGCTCCATCCGCACAACCACATCTATGGTCTCAGTATCACAGGAAAAATATCAGAGCCTGATGCCTGGACTAGAGGGTCTTTAACCTCAGTGGGTGCTGAAATCTGGAAATTTATTTTATTGTATTGTTTTTAAAACTCTTTATTAAAATGCCAGCATTTTAAATGTTATTGATAGTTGTATTTAGGCGTACAGTCTTTGAACACCAATTCCTGCATCAACTTCCCTCCACCCGTGTTCCTGTATTCCCTCCCCACCCAGGTGCCCACTCTGCCCCCACCTGTCATCTGGACAAGCATATGACTAGGTTTCAGTGGTTACAGCTTAGATCTCTTGTTTTCAGTTCTGTTGCATCTGTGTTTTGGGTAAATGGCTACACCCCTCACTCATGTCACTGGCATAAATGAATCCCTGATCCCTGTAAAATTCCGGGTCTCTTCCGCCCCAAATTTCTTTCCTTCTTTGTCCGGCTTCTCTCTAAACACTGGAATCAGGGATGATTTAAGCAGCCCCTTTACATTACATTTCCACATCCAGTGTTCTGTATTCCACAGATGAGTGAACAGCATCCTGTTTTTGTTTCTTTTTCTGGCTAACTTCACTCAAGACAGTATCTTCCAGTTCC